GACGGATGGAACCGGTAGAGGGACCTGCTCTGCCGTTTCTGGCAAGCTTTGGCTATGGTGGAGATGGGATGTGTGTGTCCGTGAAGTGAGACTGGTATTCCGCTGAGATTTTGGAGATTGAGTCTGTGTTTATTCGAGTATGTTCAAAAACTTATGGGATTTGTTTTCTGAGTATGCAGCTCTCTAATCCTCCATAAAAAGGGAATACACGACATCTGGTGAAGGAAGGAAAAGGCACACCGGGGAGCAGATAGATTAAATAATGTCAGCAATAAAACGAAGGGTTGATTTCAAAAATATTGCTGTTTCGAAGTTTGGCAGCAAAAATGTCGTCCGTTGCAGCTTTATCAGGTTTCCGTAGTTTGCCAGCAAAAACACGGCGTTTTGCCAAGTTTCACAGCAAAGGACCCCTAGGCCCCTGGCCTCAGGGACTCAAGGACTCAGTGTTCCGGTCTCAGGCACTCAGCTTTCTCTTGTTTTTTTGTTTTTTTTTTCCGCGGGCGTGGACGAGGCATCTCGGCCGTGGCCACGTTTCTTGCTTTTTTTTTTTCTTCCCGCGGGCGTGGCCGAGGCATCTCAGCCGTGGGCACGCCCATATGCGCTGAGGCCAGAACGCTGAGTCCCTCAGTCCCTGAGGCCAGAGGCCTAGGGGTACTTTGCTGTGAAACTGGGCAAAACGCGGTATTTTTGCTGGCAAACTATGGGAACCCGATAAAGCTGCAACGAAACCTCTATTTCTGCAAAGGAAACTTCGATCGGACGACATTTTTGCCGCCAAACTTGGAAGGAGCAATATTTTTGCTATTAATCCTAAAATGAATACCAATAACGAGAATAATGAGAATAAAGAGAACAAGGGTAATAATGGAAAGAAGGGAGCACGACGGAACGGACCTCAGTTTTATCATTATGAATGTGGAAAGTATGGACATATTGCTGGCGACTGTTGGTCCAAACGCAGACGGCCGGTGCAACAGGATACGTTGGATAACGATATAAACGTATTCGAGAGGGACCTTATGAAGGAGAAAGAGGAAGAACGTAGAAAGAAGATCGAAGAAGAACAGCAAAGACTGAAGGAAGAGGAGGAACAGAGATGGATGATGGCCATCGCAAGGAGGACATAAGAGATGACAGCATGACACTGCAGTTACAGGCAGAGTTTTCGAAACAATGGCGGAAATAGCACTCTGTGTTCACCCTCCGAGGCACGACTTTGACGAAGGGGAAGACGGAAGGGGAAGACGGAAGACCGTTGCGACGACGGAAGGGGAAGACGGAGAGGCAGTCGCAAGACGAAGGGGAAGACGGAAGGCGTTGGGAAGGTAATCAGCCCGAAGATTTCACCGAGAAGTACTTGCAGTAATTCATGAGGACATGTCAAGTCAACGGAGGGGAAGACTCACTCGGGTTTTGCACAGTTGGAGATGAGTGGAGCCATGTGGAGAGTAGTGGAGATGAGTCGACGGTACATCCTGTCCGCCATGTCAATGCTGGTAGTAGCCATAGCCTCTGCCCCTCTGGCAGAGATCAACTCACAACGAAACCCCGCACCCCTCCTCCCCTTAACCTCACGGTCCTCAGCCCACCGCAACTCCAAGCCTGCACAGGATATGGTGCCAGGAAAACCACAGGGCATACTCCCTTGTGGGACGGGTGCACTCTCGTGTGTGCCCGATCCCACTGTAAAAGAGGATTGGAACAAGTGGGGGAGTCGGGACGTGTTCCTCACAGAAATGCAGAAAAGCAGTTCCATCACAATTGTTTGCACCTCTCCACAAACACGTCCAGTTTCGGAGGCTCATTCCAGTCCTCTTTGCCAGTGGGATCTGGCCCTAACGTTTAAAAATTCGCCCCTTGGCAGGCTAAAGACCAAGGCAAATAGAAAAGAATTTTCGTTGGACCTTAAAAAATAAATAAATATTGGGCCTTGCCCTTTGTCACCACGACAGACACCATTTCCCGGGGCCAAGTCCCACTTACACTGATCCTTGATTTCTGTTCGTTTATCTGCCAAATCTGCGGTAAGAAATTGATCATTTGGGTAAGCGGGACTTGGCCCCCGGTTGAATGACGGACCAGAGCACCGCAAGTGAGGTTTAAGTTTTTGGGAAAACTCGGACCTTCGCAGGGTAGAGACCGAGGAAAATAGAAAATAATTTCGGTGGACCTCAAAAAAAAAAAAAAAAAAAAAAATCTAGGATTTCGCAGAGAGTCGCGTTCATGTTCCCTACAACTGTGTGACCGGGCGGGGGTAGTATGTCAGCAAATGCCAGATCATAGCAAATCCTGGCAGATTTTGCTGGAATGCCACCGCTGTGTGAGTATGGCCGAAGTCATATAGAACTGGAAAATTCATGGTGCGAGGACCCTCTGAGGGCATACTCACAGGGTATGCCCCCAAAATAGCAAAATGGCAAAATGAACGCCTAGATTGAGTGCTTGCAAGCAGAGGGGCTCTATCTGGGCGCTCATTTTGCCATTTTGCCATTTTGAGGGTCTAGTGCGAGGACGCTCTACGTTCACTCAATAAGTTCTTCTACCATTCTTTCATGCCGAAATGAATCCAGACATACAATGTACTCCACGCGGTCATCGTGGCCCTCTCCTTATGTTCACATAGGGAACTACCAAGGTCCAGTAGAGAAACAGGTATCACAGAACCTGTTCAGAATTCATGGCACTTACTGATTGTGCCCAAACATATGCATGATGGCTTTGTGCAAGTTTAACGAGACATTTGACTGCCCTGTGTTTTCCTGTATTTTCTTTCCATAGCTAATTGAGGGGCAAATTGCAGATATACCCGTTTTGAAACGTATAGTAGCTGCAACTTTATGGGTCCGCGCAGGTTTTGTGGCAATATTTACCCGTAAACTTGCAGAAATACCCTTTCTGGAAGGTCTCTGCGCAGATTTACCCGTTTTCAAAGGTTTCTGTGCAGATTTACCCCTTTTTTCCACGGTTTCTGTGCAGATTTACCCCTTTTTTCCAAGGTTTCTGTGCAGATTTACCCTGTTTTCAAGGTTTCTGGGCAGATTTACCGGGCACTGCGGGCAGTACCTTCTTTTGTGACAGAGGATCCATCGGCCTGGCCTGAGGCAAGGGCTCCAAGACCCACGGGTTCTCTGTTTGTCACAATACCTGAGCGGACCGGTGAAGTTGCTACTATACATTTCAAAGCCGGTATATGTGCAAGTTGCCCTTTTTTTTTCTTGATCTTTGAATGTGGCTGCTGTCTGTCTCTGCGAGTCTTTTTTTTCTTGATCTTTGAATGTGGCTGCTGTCTGGTGATAAACTGGCGGGCAATCTGACTGTGCCCGCTTTCTGTGGAATCTGCTGCAGGATCAGAAGAAAAACCTTGACGTTTGTCATTCAAACTCACAGCTATGAGTATTTGGCAGCTCTGGATTTGACCGGATCAGGGCCGGATCTGATTTGAAACTCTCGTGGGGGATGGATAAGGTTACGAGATCTCAGAGTTAAAAGGCTTGCCTTCAAGAAAACAAAGTGGAGCAGTTTATCAGCATGCGACATATTTTCAAGACTGGAGCCTTATATTATTTCCGCTGCACAAACGTGGACTCATGCACAATATGGTTCTCTGACCGACTGGGTTGACTTCGTTATTGTGTCCGAGTTCATCCCACGAGAACGACCCTAGATCAAGAGACAAAGTCACAAAGACACAAACACACACACACACACACACACACACACACACACACACACACACACACACACACACACAGAGAGAGANGAGAGAGAGAGAGAGAGAGAGAGAGAGAGAGAGAGAGAGAGAGAGAGAGAGAGAGAGAGAGAGAGAGAGGGATCCCCAACACCCTACAATGACGACGCTGACTGATGAAAACGAGGTTGAAGACGCCAATGAAGATGAAAGATAAGGAGTAACGTGCACTATTTGCAAGGACAAGGTGAGATGATAATCATGTGGGGAAAGGGGGCCAAAACAGGCTATGGTGGTTTTGTTTTTCTTTCATACTCACTCTGATCGCGGAAGGGAGACAAAGCGACATGAAGGGGAGGACGAGGCTATGGTGGTTTTGTTTTTCTTTCCTATTCACTCTGATCGTGAAAGGGAGACGAAGGCACAAGGAGGGGAGGACGAGAAAGAGGACGAGGGACGCAAGGATGAGGAGAAAAAGGAAGGCAAAAGCCTAAGAGGGAGGGAGGGTAGTGAGGCAGAAAGAGATGGGGCTGGAGGAGGAGAAGGGGGAGGAGGACAAAGGGGAAGTACGAGAAGAGGGGAAAGTGCAGAGGAGGGAAAGGGGGGAGAAGAGGGAAACTTAGGGGGAAAGTCGACGGGGTGGGTGGGAGAAGCTAGGTGTAAGTCGCCGAAAGCGTGGTGGTGGTTTAAGGCGCGAAATTGCGCACGTGGTTAGGATGCGAAGCGCGAAATCATGCTTTCATTTTTCTTTTCATTTTATTTTGTGTGTGTGTGTGTGTGTTGAAGGCACAAAATTACATTTTTTTCGTTTCTCTTAAATATGTGTCTCACACACACACACACACACACAGACAAAGGCGAGAGGGAAGGGGAGAGGGAAGGGAGAGGGCTAGGGGGAAGTCGGGGTGGGGTTTGGTGAATTGGAGGCGCTATTTCGTTTTGTGTATTCTTTGTTTTTTCGGTTTGTGTTTGTGTTTGTACGTGTGACGCTGTGTGTGTGTGTGTGTGTGTGTGTGTGAGAGAGAGAGAGAGAGAGAGAGAGAGAGAGAGAGAGAGAGAGAGAGAGAGAGAGAGATGGGCGAAGAGGAAGCGGGTAGGGGTTACTGTTAGGGAAAATTCGGCGGCCGGTGGGGGAAGGTGGAAGTGGGCCGCTTGACACACATGTTTTTTTTCGTTCGTTTGTGTGTGTCAGAGAGAGAGAGAGAGAGAGAGAGAGAGAGAGAGAGAGAGAGAGAGAGAGAGAGAGAGAGACGTGGGACGAGATCATCAGGGCAACGAGACGAGTAGAGTGAAAATGGTGTACAGGGTATCTCCGAGTGTGAAGAGGCAGGTGAGCAAGTATTTTTTTGTTGAGCTCCTGGAAAATGGGGTGTGTTATGTTGTTCTTGGAGTCCTGGCGATGGCGGTGGCAAGTTTTGGACAGGAAATGACTGCCAAGGTGTTTTGGATCTGTGTGGCACTCTTTTGGGTGGAAGCATTTTCTAAAATTTTGCGATCTTTTATTCACAGAGCTTATTTTCAGCAAATGTCCTGCGGCGAGATCGCGCAGGGTCAGCGATCGGACTGCAGGTTTATCTTGGCAAAGGTTAAGCTCCTGAAGGGAAACATGGTCTCTACAGTCGGTTATGTTGGGGCGACTAGCTTGTCCCGGTTGTTTTCTCTGGTCTGTCTGATTCCTCTGGATTTGTACCTGTATCGTGCCCTCCCTGATCTGAGGGGGTACCCCAATTACCACCTGCAAAGGGGTCCGCAGCGGTTGCATGAGGCCCTTGTTCTTCTATGCATCGTTGTCATCCTTGACGCTGCCCTTACATGGGCACTGATCTTCTTCTCACCAATGTATTCTACGTGCAGTAGTCTCTTTTGCCTGATGGACGGGGACCGTGCTAGTCCCAGCTGGGAACGGGTTGACCGAGCCCAGAGGGAGACGGACATGGGACTAGCCTGGTACGTACACCTCAAACGGCACTGGTATTTGACGCCAATGGAGGCACAGGCAGACATCGACCTCTGTGGCCTGCCTGGGTATTGGTTCTATAGCATCAAGGACTTGCTTAACATGGCCCTACAGAGATCACAAGGTGGGGAGGATGATTTTGAGCTGAGCGGCGGTCTAAGAAAGCTCGGCCAGGGATCAGCTAGATCCCTCCTTATCCAGCGACGGGAAACAAGGGCAATGAAGACATTGCAGGGGTTGTCTGGGCCAATAAAGCCCTGCACCTGTGATCTGTTCGATGAAGAGGGGAGCATAGATGGTCACATGCAGGACATCGCTCAGGTCAGTCGTTGCACCCACGATGTGGACGCTGGTTGGGATTTCCTGGTATCTGGAGGGTATCTTGCCATGCTGCAGATTGTCAGAAGCTGTCCCGCAGAATCTAATGACGTGCAGTTGGCAGCTTCCATTTGTGGGGGCTTTGCCTCTTCCCTCTCAGTCCTCCCATGGCAACCAACTCAGCGGAGGCGCGATACATTGAATGCATTGAACATCCTGAAGGATGACGATTTCGGCTACTGCATCGCAGATTTGCTCCGGAGCTTCATCCACGTGTTAGAGTGGCAAGTGGGAAAGCAGACGCCTGACCTCTCTCAGGCCGAGGCTGCGATGTTTGCTATATCTTCCTTTGCAAATGCGGCGAGTGACATGCACGCCCACTACCATGCCCTGTCCGTGCTTGACGAATGCAGTTCAAGACTGACCTGCAGGCTCGGGGGAAATTCCGTCAACATGTTCATGAACGCCTTCACTACGTTGTGCCCATTGGGATGGCCTCTCAGGTGCGGGATCCCGGACTTCAGCAAAGCTAAAGGGTGGATTGACGGCGTCCTGACTGTCTTATCGGAACCAAAAACGGTCGAAACGCTTCTAAGGACCATAGCTACTTTCAGTGATCAGAGTGTGGCAAGTAAGGTTGTGGCCCATGCCATAAGGGCTCTTTGGGCCATGTGGTCGTGCAGGGCGATATATTGGCATCGTTTCGACAAACGGATGCCTCAGGACTTCCCTCCCCCAGCAGCATTGATCAACAAACTAAGCAACGAAGACAAAGTCACGGGCATTCTGAAGGCGTTGGTTCGCCAATGTAACGAAAGCCAGTGGACATCGATCCTCTCCCCTTTCTCGAAGCTTCACTTGGCCAAGATCCTCATCTGTCAAAAAGTGAGGGACATCGATCCCGAGGTCGCCACAATCCTGCTGCAGTGCCTTTGCTACTGGCGACACACTTTGGGCTCACGTGAACTCGATTGGTTTGCCTCGGAAGTCATTGAAACCTTACACGATCTGATTGATTCCTCGGAGGATGCAGTGACAATAGCCAAGCTCATCAGGGACTCCCCCGGGGGCCTCAGTTGCCTCTTGCTTATGCTAAACAGTCATGTAAGCAGAATCCGCGCTGTTCGACTTGCGGAAAACAAAGACGATGCCAGCACGTGTAGGCTCCCCTACGGGCCATTTAATACCCCGGGGAGATGTCTAGAGGGCTCTGAGATACATTATTGCCGTTGCAATGCTGCTGCTACCGCCCTCCTTTATCGGCTTCTGGTGTCCAACCACCCAGCAACAACCCTACCGCCCCCGGAGGACAACCCTGATCTTTTCGTTGATATGATTAAAGCGCTCAGCTGGATCGTGCTCAGTCTAATGCGCCAGGTAGAGGACAAGGATGATGAGAATGATCTAGATGGTGGTGATCGGTATGGCTATGGATTAGGCTACTCCCATTCACACCGAGTCGAAGGCAAGCTCAATCGTCATCGCCGGGGCTGTTGGACGTGCAGATGGTGGTCCCGTGCTCGAAGGGGTCTGTCCCACCTTAAGTCTGATATCACTCTTAAGTCTACTCTTCTCTGCTTAGAGTCTCTTGACAATCCCGCCTGGAGACCGCCCTTTGGGTTCTGTGAAGGCATGTCCTGTCCACTGGAAGACAGTAGTGAAGACCGCATGGAAAATTTTGAGACGTCAGTCAACTTCTTGCTAGCAGCGCGACAGTCTCTCCGTATCATCTCTGTACTTGTTAAAAACTATCCCCAGCTACAAAAGTACAAATATGTTCAATGGTACTTCTCCACCCTTGTGAGATGTTTGATTGGTGGCTGTCCAAGGATGTCGAGGCAGCTAGGTCTTTCAGCGTTAGAAGGCCAATGCCACTCTGAGATGCGGGAGGTGGTTGCGACAACGCTAGCTCGCACCGTCCGAGCAGTTAACGAGCTTGTTGAAGATAACCCATCGCCGTTACCTGCAGAACCACCATCTCCCATTTACCAGGCACTCACCCATCTCAAGACTTGGGCGGATTCCATGGCCGCAAAGGACAAGCTGCAGAAAGCCCTCGACTTGCAGGGAACAGCAGTGTCAGGGGGGGCGAGCCATGCTGAAAATAGTGCCATCGACAGTCTTCTAATGGAAATGAAGTCTCTTGCATTGCCATGTTCCATACAAAGTACCTAAAAAGAACACCCAGAAATATAGCATCCATACTGAGTCTCTATGTGGGACAGCGGGGGTAGTTCAGCAGATATGGATAGAGTTTCTTTTCATTCTTGGTTTGTTTAAACTTTCTTTTACACCCAAACCAAGAGTCGCGAAAAATAGGCAACTGCACAATCTTCATCTCTGCCTCGCTGCAACCATCAAGTGTGGCACTTCTTGATTGGTGCAAGAGTCCAAAGGTAAGAAGACCTTGTCCTTTCTGTTTTTCATTCCTGAGACCTCGGTTGGCTCGATAACCCAGAGCGATGCAGGGTAATCAATGATGAGATTCTGAAGAAGAAAAACGAAAAGAACAGAGGCTGCACGGCTTTCACCAGTACTAGTAAGACGAAGCTTGGCATGGGTCTGCTTCATGCAGGCCGAATAGCCCTCCAAGACCTCGAAGGGAGGGGGTGAGGCCAGGGGGGGGGTAGCGCCGTAGCGGTGGCATTTGCCTTTGTGGAGCCGCTCCAACGGAAGAGGAGGGCGATGAAAAAGAAGCGAAGAAAGAGAAGAACAAGGAACTTGTGCTGTGGGCATTTCTATTTCTTTAACAACAATTTCCTAAGAACGGACATTTTATATTTTTTGAACGAAATTGAAAACCTACTCATTTGACCCAAAAAATATCATGGTTTATATCCTGAGTGTCCATTTGGACTCGACGTTAGTTGACGTACATCCAAGGGGGACCCCCAAGGAGCTAAAACCGTGACATTTCCAAGGCCAAATAAGTGGGTTTCATTTTCCTTCAAAAAGTATAAAATGTCCGTTTTAACGATATCACTGTTCTTTGAGAAAACTACCTCGCAGTAGGGGTTAGAGTTTGAAATTTCACTTCACTTCAGGCAAAAGACCTAAAAATGTCGAATGTACAGAACCTAGGTTTCGGGTCCAGTACGGTCACATGGGGGGGTGCTACTCTGGGGAAAGCCTGAAGTGCATTCTCAAACTGTTGTCGTGACTGGGCCATAGTTAGCCCTAGTTTTTTTTTAACCCTCTTTTCAACGAAACAAACTGAATGAAATTTTTGTCCTTCAAGGGCACCAGGTGCCCTTGGCTGTGAAAATACAGTGGGGGAGAAGGCGCACAGGGGGCACCCCTGGGCCCTTGTTGTCATTAATGCTGCGTGGTGCCCACGTTATAAGAAAATGAAGTGGCTTTAACCCACCATTTTTTTTTTTTTTTTAATCCAGAGATGGAGTAGCCATCTGCCACATTGTGTAGACTGTCCCCCTGAGCATAACGCATATGCATTGTAACTGAGGACAATGCATAGGTTGCTTTCTATTCGAATACAACACACTTTCTATTCGAATGCAACGCATATGCAATAGTATATTTGATTTGAACGACCCTAGTTTTCGAATACAACGCATGTGCGTTCTATTTGATTTGTTGAGGTGTTCGATAACTCGAATACAAAAGACGGTAGTCTGCCTACTCTGGTCATCATCTTTTGTTTCGTTTCCTTTTCTTTTTTTTTCCCACCAAACATGAAATGAAGAAAAGTCTGCTGACTCTGCTCTCTCTGGCCAGACCTTTCTCTCAGGCATAATTTAATTGATTTCCAAAGGGTACGAAGTCCATAGATGTCGAAGCAGCCAACAACTGCCTAGTTACTGTGTACACAACCAGACCAGCACTGCGCTGCGCGCGTGTTGCTTGGCTGCTGCTGTAAATAAAGGTTCTACGAGCCCTCTGCCCCATTACGTGAAAGAATGCTTCCACAGATGCTGGCAAGATACAGCTGTTGCCATAAACATTTGGCCACCTTCTATAATGGGAGATGTGCTGGCATAATTCATAATTTTCATTTCGTGAGTAGCGCGAAGAGATCATAGAGATGGTCTTGAGGATCGCCATCGAACTGACCTGCAACAGCTAATTCAGAGTCGATCTAGATACAAACTTAGGTCCTCACCGGCGTCCCCAGAGTCCCCAGAGTCCCCACATTACTCACAAAGTGGAAAACATTGCGGACTGCATCTGCTGGTAGAAGGTGGTCAGATACGTTTATAATCACCTATGTATTTTGCCCCCCCTTCTGGCAATATGCACTCGCATTCGTTTCTGTCTGGTGACTATGGCAAGGCCCTTAGGTCTGTCCATGAGTGTACTATTCAGCCACCCTGGCTGTCTTTCTTTTGTTCTTCAATTTTTTTTCTGGGCAAACGCATGGAATCCTTTTTAGCGTATGGTTTTATTATTTTACTTATATTTTTCTATCCTTTTAAACCACCAATAAATCCCAAAAAGCAGATTCCTCAAGAAAAACATAAAATAAAAAAAGATCGGAGGCCATGGATGGTCAATGAAATGAATCGGCTGTTCATGGCCCCTACCCTTTTTTTTCTTTTTTTTTTTGAAACCAGCCCCCTCTCTCCGTGGTATTAAAACAACTGCAAAGGTTTCAACGAGCAGTCCCTCCCTACCCAACTTGACAACAGAGAAGTGCGCTACCCGGCACACTAGAGTCAACGTGAACATCTGCTAAGCATTCACAGTCTAATTATCATGCACTAACGTGGCGTGATATATGACCAGGTTCCTTTGTGGATATAAGGACATTTGAAATGATCGAGCTCGTTGTGCTCAAGGTCGCACTACTATATGCAGCTCTAAACCCTAAACCCAAACTAATATGTAACCTGATCATATTCCTCTCTGCCGCTGCTTGACGGTCTTGGTCACACAGACCCACAGACAGCAACACCCAAATTTTGCCTAATTACAGGAAACCAAGTAGAGAGTTTGTGATCCAGTAAACACAAGAGGAGAACATTCAATCGACTTAGATTCGACTTAGATTCGACTTAGATTCGACTTAGATTCGACTTAGATTCGACTATGCTCACGCTACGTAGCTGAAATACAAAAGGAAATACTGTCCGAAGTGCCAGAGGCTGACCTTTGTTGATTCAGACCAAGTGCTGCATGGGTGTTGCATCGAGAAAAACACCATAAGGAAAGGCGATCACAACCCAGCACGATGGGAAAATAACCCTCTCATCAAGTTTCATATTGCACAGACACGAGACGGGGGCAGAAAACTACTTATCACACGTATTCGGTGCCAAGTCCCACTTACCTGAATGATAGATTTCTGACCGCAGATTTGGAAGATCAACGACCAGAAATCAAGGATCAGCGTTAGTGGGACTTGGCCCCCGGATGGAGTCCGACCAAACAAATACTTAAAAGATGCAATCAGAGGAAGCCTATCACGATGAAACCTGACTGCTAACCATCAAAACACAGCTCAGTTGAGGAAGAGTAACAACAAAGAAGATCTTCTAATTGAATGGAAATAGCTAGTAGGATGTTGGTATAGCTGTTGTAATACATCTATTGAGGTCGATGAATCTACCCCGATTGAGGAACGGGTACCGGATCCGCGGCCAAATTCAGTGGGGGTGGGGGAACTTACTTGAATCAACCACGAACCGAACGGAGGACCTATGTTCCCTGAGAACATGTAACTTACAGCGGCTGAAGTTTTCATCTTTGCAAGGGCCAATGTGTCATTCTACTGCAGTGAAGAGGAATTAAGATGAAAATTATGAAATTAAGGCAAGGGCCAATGTGTCTCCTTGCAGACTCTGCACAAAGTCTGCACTCACTTAAAGAAGAGAACAGAAATTGAAATGACAAAAACTCGAAACGAAAAAAAGGAAACTGCCGAACGGGGGCCACATTAATTTTGTGGAATGAGAAATTGCTCCATTTTGTTTTGCATTCCTTTAAAGTTTTTTTCTGTGAGGAAAACATTCTCAGTAAACTTGAGTAGAATCTCCCCTAGACGTACTTTTTGTTTTTTTGTTTTTTTGTTTGTTTTTGTTTGTTTTTGTTTTAAGAGTAGGCAGGGATGTCGCTAGCCACAACTCACGAAAGTTTGGACCATTTCTCGATTTATGCGTGTCATCCTTGAGTGCGCAGGGGCCATTTGCTAATTTACCCTCTCTCTGTATCGTTCCAATTTTAACGGATGTCCCAAAGGACGTCCCCTAGACGTTCAAATTCGCTCAACGGAATTAAATTTTGATTACAGGAAATGTTGTATAGTTCCAAGGAATCACGTTCACATTCTATGGGTTAATCTAAAAAGGCGGTCTTTTGTTTTTACTTTTTTTTTGGGGGGGGGGGGG